TCTAAAATTTATGATACAAAATAAACCACTGACCATCTAATACAGATAATATGTACTTAATGGAATGATTTAAAAGACAGAATTTCTAGAAATTGAATTGTTGTAAAAGAGGAGTAGATTTTAACTCAATAGATTTTTGCTAAACTATCTTCTGTCTAATTTACATACCCAATATAAGTTCTGAAAATATGTATCTCTCAATTTACTTTCTCAACACATTATGTAACAATATTTACTCAATATATTTTATGAAAAAAAGAAACTCTTATTACATTGAAATTGATTGTTTTATAAACTAATTATCTTTTCTCATCTTGGACTATATTTTTGTTGGATTTGTGGCATCTTTCATTGTACCTAAATTTTTTTTCAATTAAATATTTTGTCTCAAAGTATTCTTGTTTTTTGACTTTGTGTTCTTGTTTAAAGAAGCTTTTGATTCTGATGTGGCCAAATTTGTCAGTTTTTTTTTTTCTATACAAATTATTGGTGTTTGTTAAGCTAAGGATTGTCTTCCTATTATTGAATATTATTATTGAATATTTATAATAGTTTCTATTAGTTCATCCATACTTTATGTTTGGATATCATGTGAAATGAAGGTTAAAAGCATATATTTCTGTTTCCAAGAGAAATACAAATAATCGAGTTTTTCACAAAACTTTTAATCACCCCTTTATTGTTTATTACCTTTGGGATTGAATATTGGGCCTTTGCACTGAAGTATAGCCTAGTTCTTTTTAAAGTGTTTATTGTGATACAGGGTTTTGATACTTTTACCTATTTTAATCACCATGACTTCATTATATGTTTTGAAATAAGTTCATATATATTCTCCTTCCTTTTCTTTCTTCCCTTTACTGTCCTTCTTGTTAGTGAGTTTTATTTCAATTAGTCTTCCCAGAAGCAACTCAATTTCATTTAAACTGTACCTCTTTTCACAAAATTTTTCTTGCTTTGTTGATTTCTTACCATGGAAATTTGACTTTCTGACTGCAATTTTTATGTTGTGTTCTTTTCTTTCATTTGCACTTGTGGATTATTTCTTTGGATTTGTCTTGGGCATATTTTTAAAATGTTTAGATGTGTTAGGCAGAATGGATCAAGACACAAGATCCAACAATAAGCTGTCTACAAGAAACACATTGAACTCAAAAAGAAACTCATAGTCTGAAAGTCAAAGGATGGAAAACAATACTCCATGCAACAGGGGCCCAGAAAAAAGCAGGAACAGTATTCCGCGTGCAAACAATGTGAACTTCAAACCCGATTAAAAGAGATAAAGAAGGTCACTACATACTTGTTAGGGGAAAACCTCAAGAGGAAGAGATAACAATCATAAATATATTTGCACCAAATATGGGAGCACCCAACTATATCAGACAAACATTAATAGACATGGAAAATCAAATAAGCAATAACACAATTGTAATGGGGGACCCTAATACGCCATTATCACAAAGAGATAGATTAACCAGACCAAAAAATCAACAACGAAATATTAGAACTGAACCAAACTTTAAATAAATGGACTTAGTAGACATTTACAGAATGTTCCACACAACAACAAGAGAATGAACATTCTTCTCAGCTGTACACGGGACGTTTTCTAAAATAGATCATATGCTAGCTCATAGAACATGGTTAAGTAAATGCAAAGGCATTTAAATTATCTCATGCATATTATCTGACCATAGTGCAATGAAATTGGAAATTACTGTAGAAACTGTAAAAGCTCTATAAACACACGGTAAGTATATAACACCCTCCTGAACAACCAATAATGATGTTGACTGAATATATATGTAATCTTCCCAGAACTTTAATGTGGGAAATGTGCAGAATATCATTTCCTCTGAGTTCATCTGAGCTGTGATGTTCCAAGATTTGGGATGCATGACATAAGCATTATTGATTTAACCATTGGTCATTAGGTTGAACTTAGTCTCCAGCACCCTTTCTCTTCCTGAGCTGATGTTTTATGGTTCAAAGCTCCAAAACTATAATCACATTTTAGCCTTTCTGAGAGGGTAAGATTTCCACATGAATAATTCTGTTGGCATAAACTATCTAAGGAGATTCCAGGAGCATGAAGTTTCAGTGTCTACACCAATAATACAACAAGACTTATTACTTAGTAAATTCTAAAGAGTTAGAGGTAACACCCCAGGAACTGAGACAAAGGGCAAACAGATTACTTCTTACAAAGTGAACTTCCCCTAATGTGACATGCAGAGAGTACATGGATAAGTAAAATGCAAGATTAACTTTTCAGAAACTTCACCTGTTTTCTCATGACAGGTCCAAACAACACATGACATGCAACTAATACTAACACCAGATGATAGTAGCAAAAGCTAAACCCTAGGTAAATATAAATAGAAGTAGTATTTTATCTTTGTTCTCCAATGATTCTTCTTTTATGCTACCCAGTATACTTACATTCCATTTTAATATCACTTCCCAAGAAATCTCATGGCTAAATAATTCAGAGATTGGAGATGAATTATACAATTATTCCTGAAACCTTTATCCTATTCAGTGAAAAATATTAGTCTCTGATACTCTTGACATGTCTTCCTATGGGTGTATTTTTCTTTTCATTCACAGATTTGTCCAGGTGACATTCTATTGGTCTACTGGCCAATAGAATCAGAACAGATAAAGTGTACAGTTTATCCAAGAGAAGAACCCTCATACATCATTCAACTTAAAAGGAGCAACTCCGTGATCCTAGTCACATAATAAGAAAACACATAGAAAGGATGTAAGAAGAGTTACACTCAGCCCTAATCAGTTACACTAAGCCCGTATGTACTGCTTGTAAAGGATATAAGTTTGTGACTGTAAGCTTTACACAAGTAGGCTTTATTTGAAATACATTTATAATGTGACATTCTAGAGAGAGATAACTTTAAAAATACTTTTTACTTTGTAGACAATCAAGAGAGTGAGTTAATTTTAAACCTAATCTGGGCAATTTAGTGAAAATTGAAAAATAAAAAGGCTGGGTAAGGAGTTCAGTAAGATAGCACTTGCCTAGCATGCATGTGCCTATGGGTTCAATCTTCACTACTGGGCTTGTTTTGAAAATCGATGATTAATATTTGGTGTATGAGTAAGCACTTTGCCATATGCAAGTAATACTTGTTAGCTGGAGAGAATTTGTAACTTCCATATCCTTTTGTTATCCTATGTTGTATGATTTACCCTTTCCTTGCTAAATAATTTAGCCCTAAAAGCATTCAATGTGTCAGGCAAGGTAGGTCTGTCTATGGTAGGTGGAGCAGCACTGGGCTGGCTCAAGGTGTCAGAGCTCAGTAAGAAAAGAGACCATCCAGAGATTGGTAGAGCCAAGCACAATGAAGTAAGTATCACCATGGGGATGGGAAAGTGTTCTGGCCTGGATAACCAGAGTGTTGATGGTGTTTACACATGGCTTTGGCTTGGTACAGAGTACTGAGCAATAGGAGAATTGAGGAGAGTGCTCATTAGCGGAAGCCTGGTAGAATACCAGGGCGTTCATTAGGGAAAGACTGGTATAGAATACCATATTTTGGGAGAGGAATAAGGTACCTGTATTTTGGGATGTTCAGATTCAGTGTTTAACTTCAAGCAGGCTGAAGAGCATATCTATGCCCAAAGTCATTTTTGTGAGGACTTGCAGTCCTGAATGTGTAAAGAAACAGCCCTTGTGGATCTAGTTTCAGATCTAAACATCTGGAGGAGGGAAGAAGGGTGCCCAGACATAGTGTGGGCTCTTACATGAAATGGGGCTTAAACTGTAACCAAGGTGAGGGGCGCATCCTCCCAAATGGTGGACCTGGTATCACTGAGAAGAGTGTCTACATGATGTAAAGTCCAGTGTGAAAACTCAGAGCCTGAGCAATGTAAGGGTGGCATCCTTGCTGGCATGACTTCACATGGGGAGTCAGAGCCAAGGCAGCATGAGGAAATTGTCTACGCAGAAGGTAGGTTTCAGAGGCTGAGCAGAGTAAGGAGGAATAGCCAGTGGGGGGGGGGGGTGTCTGAGCTTTACAAGTTGAGGAGAGCCTCTCCCCACGTGGTCATCTTGTGTGGGTGTCAGAGCTCAGGAAAGCTAAGTGGTGGCTGTGGGATCTGTATCAAGAAAGAGCACACAGAAGGTGGGGCTTCCCTATGAAGCACCCCAGTGAATTGACAGCTTCCTGGGAGGGGTTGTTACTTGACCTTGTGCAGGACACTCAAGCAGAGCAGGGAGGGCATTAGGGCAGAGGACAAGGACCTGGACTCTGGATGAGAGTCCATGCAGAGAGACAACTGTTCCTTGGTTGGGGAAGGCTGGGCTTGATGTTGGGAGATTAACAATACCCAGAATAGCAATCAAGTGTATCAGTTAAAGACAATGAGCTCATGCTTATTACTGTAACCAAAGTAAGTTTGAAATGTTGAAATCAAAAGGAACTAGAATGAATCTTGTGGGACTAAAGTGACATTAAAGATATCTATGCAAACTCATAGTTTTCAAGATATTTGCATGTACAGACTAACATAGAAAAAATATAGATATATGGAGAGGTAAATTGGGGGGGTAGAGAAAGAGCTAGGTAGGGGAGATTAAAGGGGAAGAATCATTTGTGGGGAGGAGAGCCAATGGCAAAGAAGCCAAATGCAGGGTGTGAGCATGCTTGTGGAAAAGTACCACAAGAAAAATTTAGTTTTGAGAATGGTTTCCCTTTTGCCTGTGAGGAAAAAGTCAAATTTAGCACTCCTTTTAAGTTTATCCTCATATATAAGTCATTCTATTTAATTATCCTCACTGTTAAAACATAAGTCATATGTCCCTGGTCTTAGGATGTGGTATCTAGAATGTGCCTGATCAGCTCCAAATGATGAAGTGAATGCGATGTGCAGAAGCGTTAGCATAGGTTGGATTATGAGCAGCATTATTTACATATAGAAGCATCTGTGCTTCATTTTTGCAGTGAGTTCACAAACCACAGTTCTCTGTTTGCTTGGTTCCTCTTTTCCTTTCTTCCTGTTTCTTTTTCTTGCCTTTTGAGTTTCCAATATTTTATATTTGAGAATTGTATTGCATATATTTAACAGCCACAATCATCACTGTGCTTGTCCTGGCGATGGGACCTCTGACTAGGACTTGAGGGAATCTAATGAGATTTCTCTCAAGGTTGCTGGCTTTTTGCTACACGGCTCTCATCTTGCTGAATGACTGGAGAATTTATCACCATGTTTGGGCCTTATTTATAAGATGTTTTAGGGAGAGGATGAAACACATTTTCTGAAAAAGCGGAAAATCTCTTCTCACCATGGCTTTGGAAATCACTTACGCTGAAGTGAGGTTCAAAACTGAATCGAAGACCTCAGGCACCAATTCATTGCCTCCTGATGGTAAGAAATTATTTCCAGTGATTAGAATTAATGATGAGATGAAGGATGGGCAGAAGGTTTATGAACCCAGAATGGGTGATGTTAGTTACTGTTTTCTGAGGTTCCATGAAAAAAGTGAGTATCATCAGATTGAGTTACCTGTAGTTAAGTGCTCAGGGGCTATAGGGAGGTATAGTGGAAATGAAAAATTCATGATGCTTTCTTTACCCTTAACATTTACAGAAAAGCATATTTTACAGGCTATTGTATATCCTTAAATACAGAAATATATGATTGTGTGAATATATTTCCCAAAAGACTAATTATATAATCCTGATGTTTACTTTTACCCACTTGACAATATTTCATAACTTCAGGAAAATGTTTTTTGAATTTCTTTGGTACTTTTATCTTGAAGAAGGTTCGGGGTCTACATCCTGGGTTTTATATGTGCTAGGCAGTGCTCTAACTCTGAACTACATCTCCAACACAGAAAATGCTTTCAAACCATGACGTGACAACTAAAAATACTGACCTAAAAGATTAATTAAGATAATAAATATTTATCTACTATAGTACATAAATCTTTAAGACTGTGAACATTTATTTAAATATTACATGAAATACTGTGCAATCATATTAAAATATGTTAAAGAATAAAATATACTGATATGAAAAATATTGTGGATGCTGATATGTAAAAGATGCAGTTCAGACAGCAGTATATATAGTATGTCCATAATGTGATATAATATCCACCTATGTAGATACACGTAAAAATTGCTAAAATGATATATACAAAAGCATTAGCAGCAGGATTTCTCAGTGGAAAGAATTTATATTTTTGTACAAATTTTACAGTTTCTACAATCAACTTCATTCTTTCCTATTTCTATTTTAATATTACTTCAAGTTCTATGATATTAGAAATTATATGTCATGCAAGGGAAGAAGAAGAAGAAGAAGAGATAATTAGAGCACAATTTATTACTGATGAAATTAATTTGGTTTCTCCTTCAGCTCCCAAAGAGAAGACCACCTTTCAGCAAAATAACCCTGGTTTTCTCAGGCTGTTTCTCGCCACATTACTGATATTTTTTCTACTCTTGGCAATTTCATTCCTTGTTGCTTTTATCAGTAAGTATACCAGCAGAATTAACAAGCAATATCTGCTTTATAGGGAAGGATGATGCCCATTAAAAATTGGCATTTGCCAATGGGTTTATTCCATCATCTGAAGAAGAAGTTTACTTTGGGGATCTATATAATTTACAAGAATCCCATAAGGATTTCCTTCTTAGTTTGGATTTAGTTATTTTGCTTTTGAAAACAATGGAATCATTTCTCATTGGAGCAACTGAAGTGTAAATGTTGAGGAATGTGTTAGTGCTGTCAAGTGAAATCTATGGGGCATCATTGCTGTATAAGGCCAGGTGAATTTGAGTGTGCAGACACTGACATACTGAGACAATTAATTGGACAGAAGAGAGCTTAAAAATAGTCCAGGGCAACTTCTCCAGTGGCATGCTTCTAATTATTTCTATTCCACCCAAAAGTGTGTGAAATATAAAAGATAATTTAAGAAATATGTAAATATCTGCTTATCTTGGCTTTCAGAAATGTTCAAACTTTTAGCAAATTTAAGAATATTAAATTTTGAAGTACTTATTTTATTCATTCATTTAGTCATTCAGTCAGTGGTAATCCTGTACCATGTCAGGCTAAAAATCCAGAAACAAACATCCTTTGATCTAAAAAAAAAATTGAAGAGTCAAATGGATCCGTGCTTACAACACTGTGTGGGAAGAGGTGAGCAGGTGACAAGTAGGCAGGGAAGGCGGAGTGAGACTTCCCACAGAAAGAAAGGTGCATCTAGAGCTATGTTTATTAAGAGTGAATGGAGACTCAGCTTGCATGCAGTGCAGAGCTGCTTCTGCACACTCTGTTGGCCAAGGGCAGTATTAAAGCCAATAGTAGAGAAATAGGCCCTGTTTCATGAAGGGAAGAGACAAAGTCAAACTGGAAAGGGGTGTGGATACAGGGAGGGTTGAAAATTTTGGTCATTTTCTCAATGTCTCATAGTCTTGCAAAGATATTGAAGAATTTAAGAAGGATCTGATATAATAAAATTTGACTCATTAAAGTATTTTTACATAGGTGTGAAAATATATTTAGGAGGAGAAACTTAGAGGTAAAGGGAGAATTTAAATGACTAATCTATAATGGGACTTTAAAATAGAGTTTGACCTAAGGACAGTGTTAGTGAAGAAAGAAACAGTAAATTTTTAAAAAAATGAATCCAATTTTGAATGAAAAGGAGATAGAATTAAAGAGTTGGACCCTGATGAAAATTTAGATCTGTGGATTAAGTGTGCAAGGAGATAAATTATAACTCCAATATCTTGACTTGATAAACTCAGCAAACACGAAGTTATCCAAGGAGGGAGGAACCATAGATGAATAGCTAGCTTGGGTTGGAAGATGTTGATTTTAGTTTTAAGCATGTTGAGTTGAACCTCACACATACATGTCTAGTGGGAAACAGAACTCCAGAAGCTGTATCAAGAAGGAGTAAAGTCATCCACATGGTTTCAAATAGATAGCACTACAAGAATATATGGTATCTCTCAGGAACAAGATTAAGTGTGAGAATGGGAGAAAAGAACGGAACAATGGGGAATGTTCTGTTTCAAAAGAGGTGAATAGAGGAAGGGGAACCTATAAAATAGTGTGAAAAGAGGCAGCAAGGACAGGAAACAGCAGTGTCCCAAGAGGTGAGAAGGAAGAGAACTGTGGTTAAATATTGCATGACATCCCATAGGAAGGTGAACAACACTGGTCCTAGGATGTTACGGTTTTTGTGAAATAGTGGCTATAAAAGCCAGAATATGGTGGGTCAAGGAGGAAAGAGGAGGTAAGAAAAAAGGAAGAAATTCAGTTCCTAGGGGAACATTTGAGTTCATTTTAAATGTACAGAGACAGGAGAATATGTACTGGTGAGTCAGAACCAGTTGGGATGGAGATAAGAAAAAGAAAGAAGAGGAAGAGAATAACATGCTTTCGATCAATTTGGAATTATTTTTAAATTTTTTGTTCTCTAAATTAATCTAGAAGAATTCATAATTACTGAAGTCCACTTTCCCACAAAGTCACAGAGTGTACAGCTCTTAAATGCAAGTATTTATTTGCCCTTCACTCCACATCTCCTAAAATTCACTTTGCATGTGTCTTACATCGAGTTTGAGGAACAATATGGACTAGTCCTTTAGACCCATTGTGATGGAAGTGTCATGTCCTCTTTCAACTATCAATCTTTCAGCTATTTGTGGAAACTTTAATGGTTTTAATGGTGGTAGAAGTAGGATTTCACTGACTGTGCAATGATGGGAAAACTTTTCCAGTCAGGTTCATTCTGCTCAAGTAATTAGATATTTGTGAATGTTTGTATGAAGAACACAAGAAAGAGAAAACAAGTAGAGGACACAGTCATAATGCTAACCAGGAAAATGAATGGTTCAGATTCTCTTTTTCAGTTTTCTTTCAGAAATATTCTAAACTTCTTCAAGAAAAGAAGACTCTTACAGAAAGCTCACAAAAGCACTCAGAATTGGAGTGTATAAAAACCAGTTCAACCACAGAAGGTAAAATTTACTCCACCAAAAATGCAGTTGTTGAAAGTAGTATGCAAGATCCCAATCCAGTATTTCCAATAAGGTTCCCAATTAGCTCATACTAAGAAGTTGAGTCTCATGACCATTATATGCTACAAGTGCACCATTATATACAATTTATGCTTCTCTGTATATCTTAACTTGTATGTGCAAAGCTTAATTTTAACAAAGGTTATAATGCTGACAGCTTTTTTTAACCTTTGCTTATTTCTCAACTTTCCTGCACACTACTCTTCCCTTCCTATCCCTGTTATAACCATGTAATTAAAATGATGATGATGACTTCTATTATGAATAATGATTTCAATTTTGAATAAATACTGTATTTTAAAGTTTTATAATAGATATTTTTATAGTTACAGGAAAGCTGGGCATATGACATGAAAAGATTTTAATCACATCATGCACACAGAGTATCTCCTATTATTAGCATCATATATGAGATAGGGCGATCGTTGCTACTAATGAACACGTTGATATAGTATCATTAAAGTTCATGATTTTTTTCATCTAGGATGTGGACCAAAGGTTTTAAGCATGCTAGGCAAGCACTCTTCTAATGAGCCACATTTTCAACCCAAAGTTCAGAATTTATTCAAATTTTCTTCCCTTTTTTCTTTCCTCTTATTATAATTCCATGCAGGGTACTATAATCCATTTAGTTGTCATGTCTTTTTAATCTGCTTTGACTGTGATCATTATTTAGGTTCTCTTTGTATTTGAGGATCCTGAAAGTTTTGAGGAATACTTCTCTGATATATGATAGGATGTCTATATATTGCAATATGATATTCAGAATGAATAGATTGGGGCTCTTAGGTTTTGAGACAGATCAGTTACAAAATCCTGTTTTCGTCTCAGCTCATTTCGAGGGCATCTGTTATCAAAATGATTTAGACTACTAATGCTGACCTTGATTGTAGTGTTTACTAGGCTTCTCCATCTTAAACCTCTTCTTTTCTTCCCTTTCCATGCTGTACTCACAGTTCACATTTAAGAGTTGTGGATGGATACTCCCTGAAATCTATGTACAGTATTGAGTTATCCAACATTCCCCAAAGAAACAGAACTAGTAAAAAAAAAAAAAAAAAAAAGAATATTATTTATTATAAGGATTGGCTAAGGTCTCAGACTAGCAGGCAGGAGACTCTGAAAAATTGGCAGTTCAAATCAAAGGCACATTGCTGAAGAACCATGGAGAACCAGTGTAGCAGATGAAGTCCAAAGGCAGCCAGCTAGAGAATTCCTCTAGCTTGGGGCCGGGGAGGGTGTCATATTGTTTTATTGAGATTGTTCACTGAATGAATGGCTTCTATGCCCATTATGAAGGACAGTCTTCTTCATTCAAGCCCAACAATTTAAATGTTAATCTCACACAAAAACGCTCCTGAAAAAAATATCCATAGTTTTACCAAAATAACACTTAAAACATTAGCCATCAGACATCTCTAAATAATTTATTTCAAATTTTAGAAAATGTGAGATTTGTCTCTTCTATTCCATTTTTAAATTTATTCTGTCATTATAAACTGCATGTACTCATGGTTGTTCATTTTGTACTATGGATTTTAATCCAATTGTGCTCCAAATTTTTTCTAAATTTGGCCATTTCGTTGGTCATTCTGCCTTTCAATATATTACCATCATGTGGGGTTTTTTGTTGTTCTTGTTGTTTATTTCTACAACAACTTTATTGAACTAAAATTTACAAACCACACATTTTATAAATTTAAAAAGTGAGATTCAATAGATTTTAGTACATTGACAGAGTTTAAAGCTATAATCACAGTCAAACTTAGGTCACTTTTGCTATGCCAGGTCAAAGCACTGTCTCTGTCTGCTAGGTATCATCTCCAATCCCTCTTCTCTAGATCTAGGCAACCACTGAGCCACTCTTTGCCTTCATATGTTATTCTATTCTGGGAACTTTTCTTTTTCTTTTCTTTTCTTTTTGTTCTTTTGTTTCTCTTCTCCTCCTCCTCTTTTTCCTACTCCTTCCTCTCCTTCTCCTGTTCCCTTTTCCTCTCATTTCAAAATAGAGGAAGATCATTAATAAAGACCTTAACACATCCAAAGAAATGTAAATACTGAAAGTGAGTTCTCACACCATATTGGAGTGAAACCAGAGAGCTACAACAGAAACATATTTGGAATATAGTAACTTTATTCCTTTCTCTTTTCTCTCTCTCCTATTAAGGTTTTCATATGAGGGAAACCATACAATGTTTCAGCTTGTGTGTCTCATTTACTTCACTTAACATTATGGTCTCAAGTTATATCCATCTTTCTACAAATGCCTGAAGTTTATCTTTCTAAACCGCAGAGTAGTACTTCATTGTGCATAGGTACCAAATTTTCTTTATCCGTTGCTCTGTTGATGGACATATAGACTGATCCAGGATGTAGCTATTATGAATTGTGCTGCTTCAAACACAGTTACACACACATCACATTGTTGCTTGATTTATTACTTCTTTACTTTCTGGAACTACAAAATGCTCCAGACTTGTTGCATATTTCTTGTCTCTATTCTAAAATCAACTGTTTCTCTGAGGAAGCCTTCCTTCTGTGGAAGAAATGTATCCTTCAAGTGTTCATGTGTTATATTTTTATTTTTATTCAGGACAATTTCTTTAACATTTCCTTTCATACTTCTTTGACTTGGGGATTACTTAGAAGTGTGTTATTTAGTTCTAAGTATGTGATGATTTTGTTTCCTTTCCCTTATTCATTTCTACTTTGCTTCTACTGAGATTGGAGAATACTCAGTACATGATTTAAATTATTTTATATTTGTTAAGATTTGCTTTATGTCTAAAAATATTGTCTATCTCGGGATATGCTCCAAGAGCACTTATATATAATGGTTGTTGTGCTGTTGAGTGGAATATTGGAAAATTGGTCATTAGATTCATCAGGCTAAATTTTTTTTTATTTTAAAGAGAAAAAAGCAATAACAAAATAACAACAATGAAGGCAAAAGCAGAATAACACAAAAGCAATAAAAACAATACAGATTTTAAAACAAGATGATAGGAATTAACAATGGTTGTTATATTACATATTGTTATCTTCAACTAATTTGCTGAGATCACCAGATGTAAAAATGCAAGATTGATCAAATAATTAAAGACAATAACAAGTAATAAGAAAACATTATAAATGATACAGAGCTTCATTAAACAAGATGGTAGTAATTTCATAATTGTTGTTATACTACATATTGTTGTCTTCAAATTAGTTATTCCGATTACCAGATATAAGCATGCAAAATTGGTGAGGAAAATAAAATTTAAGCTTAACTGCTCCTTTCAATAAACCAATAGACGTAAGCAGTACACTTATCCCATCTCTCTCTCTCTCTCTCTCTCTCTCTCTCTATATATATATATATATATATATATATATACACACACACATATATATATTCTTTTTTATTTTAGAGAGAAAAGAAAAACAAAAAGACAAAAATAAAGACATAAACAAAACAACATATAAACAATAAAAATAAGGTTGATTTTTTTTTATTTCTGGGTAGTTCTTGATTTTCTGCAGAGTTGCCACCACTTATAATAACATATTTTCCATTTCCCCTGCCTTGCATGTTATTTTTACTACAGGTATGCTGTGCTACTTCTGCTTGTTATATACACATTTAAGATCACATTATGAGGCTCTATTTATTTTTCTTATATCTATTCTGTCTCTGGCTCAGTTTACAATTTGTATTATTTTGTCAGATGGTTTACTGATTTCTCTCCCTTTTTGGTCTGCTGCTGAGCCCAACCACTGAGCTTTGAAAAGATGATTGTATTTTCAGTAGCAAAATTTCTTTTTGAATTTCCTTGACATCATTATATCTTTGCTGAGGCTTTCTATTTTTTCATTTGCCTCAAAAATAATTTCATCTTCTTGTTGAAGCATTTTTGTCAAGGCTGTTTTAAAGTCTTTTTCCCATAATTCTGACATTTGTAACCTTTTTTGTTGACATCTACAGACTATCTATTTAAAATTAAATTTCTGAATTTCCTGGGTGGTTTTTTTTTTTTTTTCTTCCAGAAATGGAACTCAGGGCCTGTGCTTGCCAGGCAGATGCTGTGCTGCTGAGCTCCATCCTCAGCATTATATTTTATCTTCTTTTTTTCTGATTCTACTCCAGCAGGAGAAAAGGGCCCTGAGCCATTATTTCATGATGCGGGTAGACTTGAGTTACTTAGCATCTGAGGGGTGCGGCTGCTTGTTATGTCCACATGAAGGTGTGCATTTCCAGTTCCACAGTCTTTTTCACTTACATGTCCTTCTTTCCAATAAAGGGAAAGTCTGGAGCTGTTGCCCAAAGAACTGGAAATCATTTAGTTTCCATTGCTATTTGTTTTCTACTGACTCAAAGTCTTGGAATGAAAGTGCAGAGAACTGCTATAAAATGGGGGCTCACCTGGGGGTGATCAACACCAAGGAGGAGCAGGTGCTGTCAAAGAGATAACGGAGTCTGAGTCCCGGCTGGTTCTTGTACATCTGTTTTTGCCAAGAAGGAGGCATTTATTGTTGGGGATGTTGGTGCTGTCATGGAAGATGTTAGTGAAATAGATAGGAAAGGCCTCCTAAACCTTTGCATCCCATACTTTTATCCTGATTCAGTAAAAATAACCTCACCCCAAAAGAAATTTTGGGTCAAAATATAACACATAAGGCTCAAAATATAACACTAGGAGTTGAGGTGTGGAAAGAAACTATTTTCCCTGAAATATCAGTTATTTCAATTTTGTAAAAGTTTTACAGGTCTTGAACTGTTTCATAGAAAGAGATCTTAAGTTAAATAGAGAAGTAAAGATAAATCGTAAAGAGGCACACACAACAATAAAAAATGAAATTAAAGAATCTCTGACAGTATAAAAAGGAAATTATAATATCTGCAAAAACGTTCTCTTTTACAGCTTTGCAGGATGCCATCTCTTAGTGAATATAGGTGGTAAAATGAGTCTGAAATGAGAACTCACTAAGGTCACGCACAGTAATTGTTTCCATAAGTTATGAAAAACAGGCTGACAAGTAATGTCCTTGACCCTTCCCTGCTCAGCCAGAGATTTTCACTTTTAGGAGGTCCCACATGGCTATTCCTGGATCTTCTCCTTTTCTTCCCACTTCTGAATGACCATAAAGAGCTCAGTTGAAATATTAGAGTATAGCCATAAGTATGTACAATTATGTGTTAATCAACATTTTCTAAATGTTTAAAAAGAAGTAATTGTTAACCAAACTGATTTGGTCATTATATATTGTACACATGTAACCAATTATCATGCTGGAACTCAAAATTTTATAAAATTAAAACATTCATTTGAAATTTTAAGAACATGAAAAATTTTTAAAAACTCAATACAGCTGAATACTATGAAGGGTATGACTTCTTTTTCCCTTTTATTAGGATTTCATCATGCAGAATCTGAAAATAAGCTATTTTTATATAGGCTTGTCAGATCCAGAGGGACAGAGACACTGGCAATGGGTTGACCATACACCATACAATGAAAGTGCCACGTGAGTATGGAATTAGAGAGAAGAACCCTGAGTCCTGGGTTATGAAAGATATTTAGGACGTTCCACCTACCAGTTATAGCACCAAAAGAGTTTGCTCTTGTATGAACTGTAGGGTACTGGATTAGAATTTTTATTATTTTATTTAATCATCATGTGAACCAGGTGATATACATTCTTATTTTTCCCACTATAATGGAGAGAAAACTGAGTTAGGAGAGTGTAGATAACTCTGCTAGCTAATCTTTCACATTCATGTAGTTCTTTAAAAACACTTGAATACTTCAGTTATCACCAACTTTGACCTTCATATTTATATGTGAATACATAATGACATTACTTTAGCCCCACTTTTTATATGGGAAAATTGGAAACAGAAAAAGCAAGTTTCTTGACTGAGATCACAGTGATAAATTCTTTAACTCATTCATCATAAAGGAACCATATTTTTATACTGTACCTGCGTGGAACCTGCTCAGTATGTAAGATCCACGGATTGATGGTCCCCTGGGAAACGGACCTAAGGAGGAACAGACGGAGGGGATCCTCTGGGATATCTTCGGGGAGGATGGTTAATGCAATAAACTGTGAGAAAACTGTGTGACATGGGCACAGTTTGCAAGGCAAACACCAGAGATGCAGGTGGAAGAGGAATTGCATGAGAAGTAAGAAAGAGTTGGGTTGGGCATATTTGACTCTGACCTCTAGAGTTCAACCCAAGCCCTCTTGTTATTGCTAACCCTTTTCAAAACATTGTCAGAAAAAAATACATTTATCTTTTTTTTCTCACTTTCAGATTCTGGCATTCACGTCAATCCAATGATATTTATAACCAATGTGTTATGGTAACCCGTTACTATCATCAGTGGGGCTGGAATGCTGTTTCTTGTAATAGTAAACTACATTCAATTTGTGAGATGATGAAGATCTACTTATGAATCAAACATTCTTCAGGGACATGTGGTTGGACTGGCATCCATCTTTATAGTGAGAGCTAATACATTTGGGTTTATTTTTAGAGATGTCATAGAATTTTTGGGTAGGTGATCAACTACTCCACTTATGAGAAAATTGGTCCACTTATTTGTTTATTCATGCATTTTTTCATCACAAAATGCTTACCGAACATTTTCCATGTTCCAAAGACTATACTGGAGACCCATTTTGTGCACAAGTGGAAGGCTTGCTTTCTAACAGCTACCTGATTGATAAGGATTTATTTACTGATAAAATTTTACAATGTGATTCCTCCACTTGGCTGTGTTTCTTTCTTTTTTTCTCACTTTGTCATTATTGATGTGTGATTGACAAATAAATCTGTACCTATTTAAGTTACATTATAATGTAATGATGTAACATACATATATACCCTGAAATGTTTACCACAATCGTTTGTTAAAACATCCGTTACCTAGCATAGTTAGCACTTTTGTGCACCAAGATTTAAGACCTCCAAAGGTGTATTAAAGTTATGCCATGTTTGATGATAGTTATTATGCTGCACATTAATTTCTTATAACTTAATGATCTTTTAACTGAATATTCATATCATTAAACATCTCCGTTTTTCCCACACCCATCACCCTCTATCAATCATTGCACCTTTTGATTTTATTTTGTTGATTTTTCAGTCATCTTCATATAAGTGGGATCATGCAATATTTATCTCTCTCTGTTGACATATTTCATTCAGTCTATGGTCCATCCTATTCATCCATATTGTTGCAAATGATAGTATAGCCATTGTACTGTGGAAAATATTTTAATGTATTATATATATAGTGTGTGTGTGCATGTGTGTATGTATTTCTGAGTTTAAATACATTTTCATATTTTCTTTATCAATTTACCCATGAACAGATTGTCTCCATGTCTTCACCATTGTAAAAAATACTGTAATACACATAAGAGTACAGATGGGTCTAAATAGTGCTTTTATTGTTTTTGACATATTCCCCAAACTGGAATTGTTGGAGGATATGGTAATTCTACTTTTTTTGAGAATCCTTTATATTCCTTTATACAATAGGTTTACCAGCTATTCCTGTCTTGTGAACCCTTAAGCCTTTCATGTACTTAAAATACCAGTCATCTTAACAGATGAGACATGATATTGCTTTGCATTTACTATGGTTCACATCTGTCTTGGTTTCTAAGGGTTCATATAATAGAAGCCTGGTTCTCAGAGTAGTGGTGCCTTGGGAGAGGTTGACTCTTTGGCAGTACTGTTGGTGCTACCCTAGAGGTATTAAGGTGGTCTTTCTGGGACTCTGGATGGTGTTTCCTTTAATGAATTTCTACATCAGTGTTGTATAGCTTCCAGTATGCAAATCTTTGGTCTTTAATTATACTTACTACTAAAGATTTTCTTGTATTTGATGCTCATAAATCAGATGATATTTTTTCAGATAATTTGCTTTTGGTTGTATAGAGACAAAATTGAATTGTTAATATTTATTTTGTATCTTCCAACTCTACTAAACTTATTAATTGACCAAACGTGTGTGTGTGTGTGTGTGTGTGTGTGTAGTCTTTCTAGCTTTCTTTGTATGAAATGTGTCATTTTCAAACACAGACAATTCTCCTTCCTGTTTCTCTCTTACTTGGAGAACTTTTTATTTTTTTTTTTTTCTTATCTGTTTAAAACATCCAAATGTATGTGGAATAAACTTGTTGCTATTGTTGATCCTTTTGGTGAGATTTCAACTTTTCACAGTTCAAAATGATGTGATCTTGTTCTACTGTAGCACTTTCTCTGTTAAGACATATTCCTTCAACACTTATTTTTCTGAAATTATTTATCACAAATATGTTAAATTTTGTTAAATACTTTCCCTTATCTACTGAACTTAGATCATATGGATCTTTATCTTTCATTAGTTTAATGTAGTGTATTTTATTGGTTGATTTGCTTATCTGAATTATTTTTTCAATCCAGTAACAAATCTCACCTCCCTGTGTCATCTTTTTGATGAGTATTGAAATCAGTTTGTTAGTTTTGTTGAAGATTTATGCATTTACATTTTAGGGATATTTCTTTGTAGTTTTTCTGTCTTCTAGTACCCATATTTGACATTGGTATTTGTGTAATATGGACTCTTTAAAAAGAATTTCAACTTTTAATGAAAATGATTTCATATTGCAATTTTTTTTGAAGAGTTTGGGATGGAATGATCTTAATTTTTCTGAAATATTTCTTTTGATTCACCAATGAATCTGACTCTTTTTAGGTATCACTTTTCTTATAGTTTTATGCTTACACATTCAAACTCCTAACTTGTTGGTTTGTTCAGATTCTACTTCTTCATCTTTCAGTCTTATTAGGTAAGGTTCTTCTAGGTATTTATTTATGTCTTCTTTGTTACTCATTTATTGATATATAATTATTCACAACGATGATTAACTGTTGTGATAATTAATTTTTGTCAACTTTAGTAAGAAACACCTAACGGAATGGCTTAGGCTTGCCCTTGGTGTTATTGAGTGAATTTACTGAAGATAGAAGACCCCCTCTGGGTGTGAATGGCACCAATTAAAAGGCCTGTTTCCTGAATGGAGTAAGTTGAGAGAAGAGAAGCAAGTCTCACTTCTGTTTCTATGGAGGAGTTCCAGTCTTTGCCCTTGCCTTAGTCGTCTGTCTCCTGGCCTCCATCACAGACTCTTTAGCATTCCAGCATTGACCCTTCAGCTTCCTGATACAGACTTGCACAGGACTCTAAGGTAACTCCAGAGCTTCAACTTTTGAGTGGATCTTTTGGATCACCACGTACAGACAATACCCTTGCAATCTTCCACACATGACGTTGCAGGCAGACATCATATTTCTCTATTGAACACTGATGGATATAGATTTTGGTACTGGAAGTGAATCTGGAGAAACAAAATTGTAAAGATAAAATTCCTAATGGCTTCAGTGGTTCCTGGACTTGGATCTCTAATTTGATGATACCTAATGCTGCCATGGTCTCTTCTAATAATGTGCAGAGTACAGATAGTCCATGACCCATGAAGTGAATTGCTTAAAATTATGTCAATCCATTTGATTATCCTTATTCACCACTGGAGAGATGCAAGGAATTTAGTGTCTCCATTGATGATACTTTTGAATATTTTTTTAGCAGAGTGCAAAATATAATGATGCTGGATGGTTGCTTGTAGCATCGGTGAACAAACTAGTAAAAGAAAATAATGAGCACAAAGCAGCCATAAAAAGTCTAAACTTTTCTGAGTGTGAAGATAAATTAGTAAATGAAAATAAGGAGCTCAAAAATTCAGATTCCCATTTCCAGACATATATAGATAATCTAAAAGTTTTTAAAAGTCTCCTAAATGAGAATTTTCTATCCTTTAGCAGCAAGGTTGAAATTGCAAAAATCCAAAGGCAAGCCCTAAACTGGATTGGCTGAAATACAGCATAAGTTTAATGCTCAGCTTCAAAGGATATCTGAAGTAAGGCTGAGGGCTCTGATCAGGAAACAGTGGCATCCTGTAAATCAGAATGAAGACGTTTAGAAGGATACTGACAAGGTTGGGGAGATTGAATCCAATGAAGTATTTTTCCAGTGGAAGAGATTTCCCACCCACAGTGGTAGAAACATCCCTACTCATATACCCTCAAGTGTTGCCCTTTCCTCCTATGCTTGAGGAAACTAATCCAGTGTTGTACGATACTGTTGAGAAGCATGACAATGGGCCCATTCATATCACCCACTTTTGTCACTAGTCCTATAACCAGGCTTAAATACCAGAAGGCTCCTGAAAGTGAGGTACACAGTGTGGCCCATGAGGAGGTCTGCTGTTCTCCTAAAGAATGTCTTGAGTTTTCTAGCTCTTACGGGCAAAGGCCTGATGAGCAAGTAGGGGAATGGATTTTAAGGGTAGGGGAAAATGGCATAAACCCTATACCGGGATCAGGCTGAATTTGTTGATGTGGACCCATGAAGTACAGATTGTAAATTTAGTGTTGCAGCTTTGGGAGTTAAAAAAAAAAAAAGGTGTTAATAATTTATTTGACTCTTTGGCAAAAGTATGGATCAAAAGTGGAGCTTTGTGGGGGAGGGACCAGAAGTCTCCTGTAATGACCCTCTGTCTCTCTTTGTGTCCTTGCCCTCACTCCAGTGAAAAATAGAGAAATGGGCTTTTTAGCAGAAAATGGGGGAGTCAACACTGTTACAGTGTAAAGAAAAAGTTTATTTAAAGTGTGGCAAATGCAGAGAAAGCAGAGCAAGAGCTATTTTAGCAGCAGAGCAGTGCTGGAAGATAGCAGGCATCATGCTCAGCATGCCTGGTGAGTATCGTACCACTTAGATAGGAAAACAGTTTTGTTGAATGATATAGGCTAAGCCATCTAGAGTCTTAGACCCAGTTAGGGTCTAGGCCAATTAGGGCTTCTGGGAAGAGGACAAGATCAGTGCACAATAAATACAAGTAAAACTTCTATAAAGGACACAGTAGAGTACTCTTATTTCAAGCACATAGTGCAAAACAAGCCTGTGACAATCTTATAATTGTCAGCCACAGAGAAGCTTGGGATTATATTACAATGTTAATGATCTGTGTTTTGCCTTGGGATTTTCTAGCTCCTCTAATCTGACCCTACACTGTGAATGAGATGCTTGGTGTTTCTTTGTTTCCTTTTGCTGAGAGTATTCAAAGGGTCAGGGAAATGAAAATGCCAAAGTGGATTTGTTAGGTTAATTCTAATCCTCCACACTGGTATCATTCTGGAAATCTACCCTTTGCTAAAACCTTGAAAAATGAATTCATAAAGGGAGAATGAGTAACCCTAAAGAGCCTTGTTTTAGTTACTTTTCTCTCATTGCTGAGACAAGATGCTGACACCCAGAGTCAAAAGGGGAAAAGGTTATTTAGCTCAGTTTGTGGAAGTTTCAGTCCATTATCTGCTGGCTCCAAGTCAGGGTGGCACATGGCAGAGGGGAGCAACAGTTCATGATAGCAGAAGACAGAAAAAATAGAAAGAGAGAAAGAGAGAGAGCCAGCCTCTTTCTGTCTCATATTGTATGAAGGCTACACACTCTACAGTGAGTGTAGCACTCACACCCTTAATCTCAGCATGCTTAATCCCAGCACTGCACAATAAATCAATCACACAGTCTAGTTTCAGCCATCTCCAAACAAAGCATATGACAGCATGAGGCTTTGGAGGGACATGTAGACACCAGCTGTAACAAGCTCTGTTGTTTTTCTTCTCTGTATGTCAGACTTTACAGCAGGAGTTGCAGTTACTTAATTGGGGAACTGAAAGACAGTGGGTTTAATTGGATCCTGTAATGGCAGGGTCAATTGGCAGCACATGACCACCAAAGACAAGGTGTAGTTTCTACCATAATGAGCAACAGAGTAGAATAGTAATCAAAATGATCTCACACATGTAGACCTATGGCATTGGCTAATTAATCATGGTGTTCCCAAAAGTGAAATAGATAAGAAGCCTACTAAGTTTTTACTAGATTTATATAATCAGAAAAATTTGAGAGCAAATGAACTGAAACTTACCTCAACTCATAGTACCAAAGATTACTAGATCCTCAGTCAATTCCTAGATTTGAGCCAGTTTACCTTAGATGAAAGGGTAGCCAGGTCCTCTTGAAAAAGAACCCTTGTGTACTACTACAACTTTATGCTGTTAATCTTTCTTCCATCTTTCCTCAAAGGGATCTTAGGCCTCTTACTTGGGTAGCTCTATATTGGCAAATGGTCAGACATTTTAGGGACTACTGGACACTGGTTCTGAACTAATAGTGATTCCAAGGGATCCAAAACATCATTATGGCCAAAACATCATCATCAGTAAGACCAGGGGTCTATGGAGATCAGGAAATCAATAGACTGTTAGCAAAAGTCTGACTCACATATTGATATCTTCAAAGTGGTTTCTCATGAAAACAGATATAGACATGCAATACAACAAGCACTGTTAATTTCCTACCACTTTGTTTGTAACTCTGTATTGTCTGTACTGTTCTTTTGCTATTTTGTAAAAGGTTGTCTGTTGTTAATGTTTTCCTTCATTTATTTTTAAAATAAAAGAAGAAAAAAATAAGAAAATAAATAAAAATGTACCTCAAAAAAAAAGTCTGACTCACAGTGGGTCCGGTAGGTCTCAGAATTCATCCTGTAGCTATTTCCTCAGTTTCAAAATGCATAATTTAAATAGATATATTTAGTATTTAGCAGAGTATTCACATTAATTCCCTAAGCTCTAATGTGATGGATATTACAGCTGGAAAGGCCAAACAGAAGCCTTTAAGGCTTGCCTTAAGAATTGCCTTTACCTAACAGAAATGTAAACCACAAACAATATTGCATCTCTAGAGGGACCTGCAGTGATTGGTGCCACTGTTAAGGACCAGAAGGATGCAGGGGTGGTGGTACCCACTGTATCTCCATTTACTAATCCTATTTGGCCTGTGCAGAGAATGGATGGATCTTGAACAATGACAGTGGATTACTGTAAACTGAATAAAGTGGTGACTTTA